TGCACCTGTAACTCACCAATACCACCCTCTGCATTCACAGACTTGTAACTTGTAAGTGCACCTGTAACTCACCAATACCACCCTCTCTACATTCACAGACTTGCACAGCAACACTTGTTTAGACTTTATGACTTTCTCCCACACTCTGATCCCACTTATTAACTCACTATTCCCTATTCTGAAGCTAGCTGTCTCTCTCAGTATTCTGCAGACTTTGATATTCCTCTATGATATTATCTCCTGGTCCCCATGTTGCTGTCCAGTTAGTTTTCTGTGCTGTACACTATGAAATGCTGTGCAATTCTAGATTACAAACCATGTTCCATTCTAGCAACTGACTGAATCTTTAAAAGAAGTGGAGAGAAGGTTCAAACTTCCAACCTTCTGCTGAAGTGAAAAACTGGTGTTGCTCCTTATTACTGAAAGCTACGATGCAGATACAGAACAATTGAAAATAAAGAAAAGTCAAACGCACCATGTTATTCCAAAGACTGCTGTCTAAGAGGGCATGACCTTTGGCATTGAAATGGAAGCCATTCTGTGTGAAGCAGCTTAGATTGGGTTGACCATCCTGCAAGGAAGAAGTAAATGTGGTCAAAATAGTCCATCACAGAATAAGCAGTCAGTTCATGAGGTCAGACATACAAAGATAAACATTTGGAATCCTTCAATTACAATCCAGACTGTAATCACACCCAGATATCCATTATTCTATATATAAACCATCTGATGCCCAGTTAAATTCCAGTCTATAGTCTTCTCTGGACTGCTTCCAATGCCTTCTTTATCTTTCCTTAGATAAAGGTCCCAAAACTGCTCACAGTATTCCAGCTGTGGTCTGACTAGTGCATTATGTAGTTTTAGCAAAACCTTCCTCCTTTTATCCTCCAGCCCCTTAAAATAAACGCCAACGTTCCATTGCCTTCCCTATTACCCGCTGAACTAATATGCTAGCTTTCTGTCATTCATGCACAAGGGCTTCCAACTCCCTTTGTTCTGCAGCCTTTCTCCATTTAAATAATATTCAGTTCCTCTATTCTTCCTGCCAAACTGCATAACCTCACATTTTCTCACATTGTGTTCCAGCTTCCAAGGCCTTGCCCACCCGCTTAACCTGTCTATAACCATCTGCAGACTTTTTGTATCATCCTCACCATCTGCTTTCTCACTTTTTTTTTGTGTCATCTACAAACTTGCTCGAGTACATTTACTTTCCTCATACATGGAATTCATATTTATTGTAAATAATTGCAGCCCCAGCACTGATTTCTTTGGCACACTTCTAGTTACAGGTTAGTCATCCTGAAAATGACTCCTTTATCCCAATTCTCTGTCCTCTATTCCATACTAATATAGCACCCCAACAACATGGACTCTTATTAAGCAGTCTAATGTGTGGTACCTTATCAAATGCCTTCTGAAAATCCAAATATATTACATCCACTGCTTCTTATCCTTTATCTATCCCACGTGTTACCTGCTTAATGGATTCTAGTAAATTTGTCAAGCGTGATATCCCCTCATGGAGCAGTGCATGGGAAATCGTGTCTCACAATCTTAGAGTCACAGAGTTGAACAGCACAGAAACAGACCCTTCGCTCCAGCTCATCCATGCAGACCAGATATTAACTAATCTAGTCCTATTTGCCAGCATTTGGCCCATATCCCTCTAAACCCTTCCTATTCATACAACCATCCAGGTGCCTTTTAAATGTTGTAACTGTACCAGCCTCCACCACTTCCTCTGGCAGCTCATTCAATACGGGCACCACCCTCTGCGTGAAAAAGTTGCCCCTTAGGTCCCCTTTAAATCTTTCTCCTCTCACCTTAAACCTATGCCCTCTAGTTTTGGACTCCCCCACCCTGGGGAAAAGACCTTGGCTATTCACCCTATCCATGCCCTTCATGATTTTATAAACCTCTATAAACCTCACCACTCAGCCTCTGATCCTCCAGGGAAAATAGCCTCAGCCTATTCAGCCTCTCCCTTTGGCTCAAACCATCCAACCTGGGCAACACTTTTGTAAATCTTTTCTGAACCTTTTCAAGCCTCAAAATATCCTTCCAATAGCAGGTAGACCAGGATTGCATGTAATATTCCAAAAGTGGCCTAGCCAATGTCCTGTACAACTACAACATGACCTCCCAACTCCTATACTCAATGTACTGACAAATAAAGGCGAGCATACCAAATGCCTTTTTCACTATCATATCTACCTGCAACTCCACTTTCAAGAAACTATGAACCTGCACTCCAGGTCCCTTTGTTCAGCAACACACCCCAGGATCTTACCATTAAGTGGTTAAGTCCTGCCCTGATTTGCCTTTCCAAAATGGAGCACCTCATATTAATCTAAATTAAACTATATCTGCCAATCCTTGGCCCATTGGCCCATCTGAACATGATCTCATAGTACTCTGAGGTAACCTTCACTGTCTGCTACACCTCCAATGTTGGTGTCATCTGCAAACTTATTAACCATACCTCCTACGTTCACATCCAAATCATTTATATTAATGACGAAAAGCAGTGGACCCAGCACAGATCCTTGTGGCACACCACTGGTCACAGGTCTCCAGTCTGAAAAACAGCCCTCCAACACCAACCTCTGCCTTCTACCTTTGAGCCAATTCTGTATCCAAATGGCTAGTTCTCCCTGTATTCCATGTGATCTAACCTCGCTAACCAGTCTACCATGAGGAATCTTGTGGAATGCCTTACTGAAGTTCATATAGATCACATCCACTGCTCTGCCTCATCAATCCTCTTTGTTACTTCTTCAAAAAACTCAATCGAGTCAGTGAGGCACGACTTCCCACACACAAAGCCATGTTGACTATCCCTAATCAGTCTTTGCCTTTCCAAATACATGTAAATCCTGTCCCTCAGAATTCCATCCAACAACTTGCTCACTGCTGATGTCAGGCTCACCGATTGGTAGTTCCTTGGCATTTCCTTACCACCTTCTTTAATAGTCAGACCATGTTAACCAACCTCCAGTCTTCTGGCACCTTACCCTAGGCTATCAATGATACAAATATCTCAGCAAGGCACCCAGCAATCACTTCCCTAGGTTGCCACAGAGTTCTAGGGTACACCTGATCAGGTTCCAGGGATTTATCTACCTTTATGCATTTTAAGATGTCCAACACCTCCCCCTCTGTAATATAGACATTTTTCAACAAGTCACTATTTATTTTCCCACTTTCTCTATCTCCCATGTCCTTCTCCACAGTAAACACTGATGCAAAATACTCGTTTAGTATCTCCCCCAGCTCCTGCGGTTCCACACATTGATGGACTTGCTGATATTTAAGGGACCCTATTCTCTCACCAGTTAATCTTTTGTCCTTAATGTATTTATAGAATCCCGTTGGATTTTCCTTAACCCTATTTGCCAAAGCTATCTTATGTCCCCTTTTTGCTTTCCTGATTTCACTCTTAAGTATACTCCCACTGCCTTTATACTCTTCGAGGGATTCACTCAATCTCTGCTGTCTATACCTGATTGAGTTTTTTGAAGAAGTAATGAAGAGGATTGATGAGGTCAGAGCGGTGGACATGATCTATATGGACTTCAGTAAGGCGTTTGACAGGGTTCCACATGGTATACTGGTTAGCAATAATAGATCACATGGAATACAGGAAGATCTAGCCATTTGGACACAGAACTGGGTCGAATGTAGAAGATAGAAGGTGATGGTAGAAGGTTGCTTTTCAGACTGGAGACCTGTGACCAGCGGTGTGCCACAAGGGTCAGTGCTGGGTCCACGGCTTTTCGTCATTTATGTAAATGATTTGGATGTGAAGATTGGAGCTATGGTTAGTAAGTTTGCACATGACCCAAAATTGGAGGTGTAGCAGACAGTGAAGGTTACCTCAGAGTACAACAGGACCTCGATCAGATGGGCCAATGGGCCGAGGAGTGGCAGATGGAGTTTAATTTAGATAAATGTGAGGTGCTCCATTTTGAAAAGGCAAATCAGGGCAGGAATTATACACTTAATGGTGAGGTCCTGGGGAGTGTTGCTCAACAAAGAGACCTCGGAGTGCAGGTTCATAGTTCCTTGAAAGTGGAATCTCAGGTTGACAAGATAATGAGAAAGGCGTTTGGCATGCTTGCCTTTATTGGTCAGTGCATTGAGTATAGGAGTAGGTAGGTCAGTTGTGGCAGTACAGGACATTGGTTAAGCCACTTTTGGAATACTGTGTGCAATTCTGGTCTCCCTGCTATAGGAAGGATGTTGTGAAACTTGAAAGGGTTCAGAAAAGATTTAGAAGGATGTTGCCAGGGTTGGAGAGTTTTAGCTGTAGGCAAAAATAGGCTGAGGCTGAATAGTCTGAGGCTATTTTCTCTGGAGTGTCAGAGGCTGAGGGGTGACTTTATAGAGGTTTATAATATTATGAGGGGCATTGATAAGGTGGATAGGCAAGGTCTTTTCCCCAGGGTGGAGGAGTCCAAAACTAGAGGGCATAGGTTAAGCTGAGAGGGGAAAGATTTTAAAGGGACCTACGGGGCAACATTTTCACACAGAGCGTGATGCATAAATGGAATGAGCTGCCAGAGGAAGTGATGGCACCTGGTACAATAACAACATTTAAAAGGCATGTGGATGGCTATATGGTTATGAAGTGTTTAGAGGGATAATGGGCCAAATGCTAGCAAGTGGGACTCGATTAACTTAGGATATCTGGTCCTGTTTCCATGCTCTACAACTCTATGACTGCATGACTCAGTGCTTGATCATATTCTGTATTTCTTAGTGGTCTGCTGTTATATCCTTTATGATAGACTCAAAAATGGATTTGGTAATTCTCCTGCAGCCAGGGCTTGCTGTGAATGTCTGAAGCCAACGGTGTGGTGTAGGAACCTACCTGTGGAAAGATCTAGAGCTGGATGAACACAGCAGGCCAAGCAGCATCAGAAGAGCAGGAAGGCTGACATTTCGGGCCTAGACCTTTCTTCAGAAGGGTCTAGGCCCGAAACGTCAGCTTTCCTGCTCCTCTGATGCTGCTTCGCCTGCTGTGTTCATCCAGCTCTACACCTTGTTATCTCAGATTCTCCAGCATCTGCAGTTCCTACTATCTGTGGAAAGATTTATTTTGCTTGGAATGAGGCCAATTGCCTTTTATGTCATAACAGCCTCCTGCACTTTGTGTGTAAACGTACACGTTTTGAAAAGTCACTTGTTGGTGAAACTTTCAGAACAAAAGACACTGACCTTGTAGAAATGGTTGGGAGGCAGGAGGTGGCATCATAGCTCTGGCAGTGATTAACAATATCAGAATGGGGGCTGCACCCAAATGTACTGTGTCAGAGTCACTTGCTACTTACACAGTGGTGGGTTTGGAGGCATAGGGAGGCAGGTCCCTGCCTTAACATATTGAAATCAGGCTCTCAGCTTGTCACTTTGGCTGGTGGCCCAGTGGGAGAGAGCAGACCTACGACGAGATGTCACCAGCAAATTCAGAAGGAAATCTGCATCCTCCGCTGGTTTGCCACCCCCTGTAAATATGGTTTTGGAGAAACTTACTGCAGTAAGAGGTATCTCCATGTTTTTGATAAAGGGCTGCAGAACCACTGTGAAGTTATTGTGTTTGTCATAGATCCCAGAGTAGACCAGTTCCTGGAGGGTGTTCTGGAAATATAAACACAGGAGAAGCTTGGTTACAAATCCTCCTCTGATCAGTCAGACCCTCCCTGTTCTGTTGCTGTATGGGCATGTTGAATGTCACTGCGGTTTTGTTTCATATATAGACAAGTACAGACTTGTGTGCGCACAAATACACAAATGTACATGCGTGCACCTACAAGTACTTGCACATACGCATATAAACACAGGTATATACCTGCAAAACAGTACACACGCCTGCGCAGTAGACTTGTTCCAGCACAGGATAGCGATTCAGTCTGAGTGGCCTGGTTTGGTTGCTCACCATAGATAGTGGATGGTACTACGTAGAAGCCAGATCCAAGTGAAAAGTACTGTATTATTACACAGGACATTCAATAAGTGCCCAAGTACAGATTCCGTTCAAGCTAAACAGCAGCATGTGTTGTGTAAAATTGGTTTTCTGTATTTACACATTTATGAGGGTATGAAAGAGCTAGCTAACATGAACTGGCAGATTAAGGGATAAGTCAGTAGAGATGCAGTAGCAGACATTTCAGGGGATATTTCAGAATACACAGAACAGGTTTCTGGAATAAATGATTTTACCACTATACTGTTATTTCCATACACGGGTCTGTCCTTCACAATTTCACAATTTACTTAAATGACTAGCATGAAGGATCCAAAGTTATGGTAACTAAATGTGTTGATGACACAAAAATAGGTAGGAAAATAAGTTGTGAAGAGAATATAATTTGAAGCTACAAAGGTATATTAATAGGTGAAGTGAGTGGGTAAAGATCTGGCAAATGGAGAATTATGGGAGAAAATGTGAAATTGTCCATTTTGGTGGTAGAAAGAGAAAAGCACATTAAAATTATCTCAATGGTGAGAAACTGCAGAGCTCTGAGATACAGAGGAATCTGGGCATTCAAACAGCATGAATTACAAAAGGTTAATACATAGGTAGAGTAAATAATTAAGAAAGCTAATGGAATGGTATGGTTTACTCCAAAGGTAATTGCATGCTGTATCATGGTCGGGAGGTTATCCCTTAGTTATACAGGGCCCTGGTGAGAACATTCCCAGAGCACAGTGCGCAGTATTGGTCACCTTACTTAAGGAAGGATATAAAGATTGGAAGCAGCAGGTTTACTGGGGTAATACCTGGGATGGGAAAATTGTTTTATGAGGAACAGTTGGAGGATAAGCTTGTATCCACTGGAGATTAGTAGAGTAAGAGAAACTTAATTAAAACACATAAGATCCTGAGGGGTCTTGACAGGGCGCATGCGGAAAGGATGTTTGCTCCTGTAGAAGAATGTAGAATGAGAGGTCACTGTTTCAGGGAGCTACACATGAGGGATATGAGAGATGAGGGACATCTTTTCTCACAGATGTTCATGAGTCCTTGGAACTCTTTTCCTCAAGAGGGCAGGGGAAGCAGAGTCCTTGGATTTTTTTTAAGGCGGACGTAGATAGATTCTTGCTAAAGCAAGGAAGTGAAAAATTATTGAGAGCAAGGTGTAGAGCTGGATGAACAAAGCAGGCCAAGCAGCATCAGAGGAGCAGGAAGGCTGACGTTTCGGGCCTAGATCCTTCATCAGATTTGATCTTGTTAAATGGCAGAGCAGACTCAAGGGTCCAAGTGGCCTACTCCTGCTCCCAATTCACAAGCTCATATGTACTCCACAATAAATGCAAATTATTGATGTTATTTGAAAATAAAATGTACATGGGGAGAAAAATGACCCTACCTGGTAATCCCAGTTAATGAACTGTGCAGATATATCGAAAGATTCATGGGGTTTGACCAAACACTCACACCAGCCCCTAAACAGAAACAATTACATGTGCATCATTGCTAATGTATAATTTGCTAATCACTGAAGACAAGGGTAGAACATTAAACTGAATGTGAACACTGTTACCTCAGCCCAGTGGCCCTATCAGAGAGCTGGTGCAGGAGGTTAATATCTGGCATCTCCACAAGATTCACATAAGCTCGCGGGATCTGCAGGAACACAGTTTCTTTACTGGAACAAGTAGTTAACTTGTGCTCTTATTATAGGTAAATTACACAGTTGTTTTTTCCTTTCTTTATACTTCCATATGATGTGGGTGTTATCATCAAGAAGCTTTTATTTACAAAAAGCAAGGGCAGTTTTCATGGCTGTCTCTGAGACTTGTTTATAATTATTAGAATTAAACTTATTAGAATTTGAATCTACGTCCTCGGGCTAATAGCCTCAGTCACTGGATTATTAATGGTGTTACTACTACACCACCGTCTTCCCTATGGTGTTCCAGTAGATATTTAGTCTATACTGGGAGCGAGTGTTAGTGGAATTTAAAATCGACTAATCAATAAATCTGGAATTCAAAGCCAGTCTTAATGATGGGGACCACTCATTGTTGTAAATGCTCAGCTGCTTCACTAATGCTCTTTAGTGAAGGAAATCTGCCTTCCTTATCTGGTCTGGCCTCACATGTTTCCAGATCCACAGCAATATGCCCTCTGAAATGGCTGAACACGTCACTCAGTTCAAGAGTAATTAGGAATAGGCAACAAATGCAACTTCAGTGATCTAAGTAAAGAATAAAGAGAGAATAAAATTGAACCCCTGGTCTCCCATCTATCTGAGCCTGGACCAGCTTCCACTCTCTCTGCATTCAGTGAAGAGACATTATTGAACTGAATCAATTTTTATTGAACTGTTGGAACATTAGAAAGGGCAATAAAGGATGGTCGAGCAAGCAATGCCCTCATCCCATGAATGAATTAGGAAAAAACAGGAATTTACTGACTGGATTAATCGGTAAAAAGAGAAAAATCAGAACACAAAACCATAGCTGAAGGGTTGAACTTGTGTAATTTAATGATGGAAGTGTTAATGCGTTAATTTAAAATTCATTTCTCACAGAATTGTCACAAAGCAATACTTTTCAGCCCATGGTGCCTGCACTAATTCTCCGAATGTGCAATTCACCTCCTGCTATTCCCCTATTTTCTCCCTTTAACCCTTGCACAATCTCCCTTTTCAGATAACAACTTAATTGCCTTTTGAAAGACTTCACTGAATGCGCCTCCAACACACTTTCAGGCTGTTCTTTCAAGATCCTAATCACTCACTTTGTAAAAAGCTTTTTCCGCATTTTCTCATTGTGCCTAAATTAGTTTAACTCTGTTCCCTCTCATTCTCAATTCTTTTACAAGTGGTATCATTTTGTCTCCATCTATTCTGTCCAGGTCCCTCACAGTTTTGAATGTTTATTAAATCTCCTTTCAGCCTTCTCTACTCCCATGATTAGACTGAACTTCTCCAAGCCAGCTTTTACACCCCAGTTTCTTTTTCCATATTGTCATTTTGGTCTTTGGAACTGCATTCCTGATGACCTGGGGCAACATAAGCAAGTTATTAACTTCTGATGAGGTGACAGTCTCCCCAAATCAACAGTACCACGTTCTAAGAGGGAAAGCCATCCCTTGCTTACCTCTCGATGCAATATATCCAGAGCTTCTTTAATTCTAAGCACAACCTTTTCTGGTGAGTAATATTCCTAGAGCAGGAAATTAGGAAACCAAAATATGTTAAACAGTTTGTACAATGTATCTCCCAGACTGATATGCTTGTTCTATGCAATTACTGTGAGGAGGCAATGGCCTAATGGTATCATTGCTGGACTGTTAAACCAGAGACCTAGATAATGTTCCGGGGACTAGAGTTCAAATGGTGGAATTTGAATTCAATAAAAAAAATCTGGAATTAAGAATCTAACAATGACCATGAATCAATTGTTGGGAAAAAAAACCCATCTGGTTCACTAATGCCCTTTAGGGAAGGAAATTGCCATCCTTACCTGGCCTGGCCTACATGTGACTCCAGAGCCACAGCAATGTGGTTGACTCTTAACTGCCTCTTGGCAATTTGGGATGGACAATAAATGCTGCCTAGTCAGCAACACCCTTATCCCATGAATGAATTTAAAAAAGAGTCCTTTAATTCTAGTTTATTGAGAACATCAATACCTATTAATTTCCCCACGCATCTGGTTTTCCCAGATTAAATGACCAACAATATCCAAGAGGTCAGTTGACTGAGATAACTCTAAGCCTTCAGTAATGTGTGAAATGCCTGTGGGCAAACAGATAAGCTGAGCTAACAATTCTAGTCCTCCCAGAAATGTTAGGGGACAAGGGTCTAAAGAAGGTGGAATAGCATGGGGGAAATTAATGGGGATAAAGTCTGACAAATCACAAAGGCCTGATGATCCATGTCCCAGTGTAATAAAGGGAATTGCCCTAAAATATTGAATACATTGGTGGTTATCTAACAAAATTTTATAAACTCTGGATCAGTTCCTACAGATTGGAAGGTTGCAAATGTAACTCCACTGTTTAAAAACAGGGGAGGGGGAGAAAAATAGAACAGAATTATAGTCCAGTTCGCCTAACATCCATAGTAGGGAAAATGCTAGAGTCCATTGTAAAATATCTGATAACAGAGCACTTGGGAAGCATTAATGGGATTGGACAAAAGCAGAATTGGTCATGCTTAACAAATCTAATGGAGAATTTTGAGGAAGTAACCAGTAAAATAGATGAGAGAGAACCAATTGATGTGGTGTATTCAGATTTTCAGAAGGCTTTTGATAAGATCTCCTGTAAAAGTTTGGTGGGCAAAATTAAGATGCATGGAATGAGGGTAATATATTGCCATGTATTGAGAATTGGTTGACAGACAGGAAATAGGGAGTAGGAATAAATTTTCTCAAATAGCAGGCAGCTACTAGTGTGGTACTATCAGTGCTTAGATCCAACTCACAACATATTAAAATAACCTGAATGAGGCAACCAAGTGCAACATTTCTAAGTGTTCTGATAACACAAAACTGGGCAGCATTGTGAGTTGTGTAGTGGATGCAAGGAGGCTTCAAGATGATTTAAATAAATTGAGTGAATCGGTAAACACATGGCAGATGCAGTACAATGTGGTCAAATGTGAAGTTATAGATTTGTCGTGAAAAACTGAAAGGCAGAATATTATTTAAATGGTGATATATTGGAAAATGCTAATGCACAAAGGCATCTGGGTGCCCTTGCATATCAGTGAATGAAAAGTGACAGGCAAGAGCAACAAACAATTCATAAGGAGAATGGTATACTGGCCTTCATTGCAAGAAGATTTGAGTTCAGAAGTAGCAATGTCTTAGCACGGTTATACAAGGTGTTAGTGAGACCACCCCTGGAGTTTTGTGTGCTGTTTTGGTCTCCCTACTTAAGAAAGGATGTACTTGCCGTAAAGGGAGAATAGTGGAGGTTCACTAGATTGATACCGGGGATGGTAGGGCTGTCTTACGAGGAGATTGGGCCTGTACTCACTCGAGTATAGAAGGACAAGAGAGAATCTGATTGCAGCATATTAACTTCAATAGAGCTGGACAGACTAAATGTAAAAAAGATGATTTCTCTGGTTAGGGACACGAAAAAATGTTATCAGACTTAGAACTTTAACTCCTTTTCTCACACCACAGATGCTGTCAGACCTACTGCAATTCTCCAGCAGTCTCTATTTTTATTTCAGTCTTCTGCCTTCCACAGAACTTTGTTTCTTTTATGCCAGATAAATACCCTGTTCCCCCTAAAATGAAGAACCATTGCATGGGTATAATAGGAGTTGATAGCTGAGAATAGAGCAAGGTTCAGCCTGGTTCACCTTCTACCATCCTGATGGTTCACAACTCAATATTAATGGAGCTATTGACTAATCATAGCACTCATAGCTAATCAATTTTAATGAATCAAACTTCACACTTCCAATATCTTCCTACGGAAATTTTTCCATACGTGAGCCACTTCCTTGTTATTGCATCTGCAGATCAATTTTGATTTACCCCCTTTCAGGTGCACATTGTATTCTTTCGCCCTACTGTTTGGCCTAAGATAAAATCTTTGCGCAGTTTTGTACATTAGCGCTCAGAAATTAAATCATCACCCAATGTTTGATTTTGTACTGAGAAAAAAAAGAGAAGTCACCAGCAATCTGTCGAACTAACAGGAATCCATTTGAGTTAACTAGGTTAGAGATTTATTATTCCACCAACAGACTTTGAACTTGCCATCCAGCATGTCCTCTTTCAGGATTTCAGAGTAAAGCTATAATAAAGTACTGATGAATTTATGAACTTCGTCCTCAAATAACTGTAACCTCACCTCAATTCAACAAAGATAATATATAGAATAATACATTCAGTCCTTGGGCTGGTCTTTATGCTAATCCTATCTAGGCCCATGAAAGGATCAGCCATGATCTTATTGAATGGCGGAGCAGTCTCGAAGGGCCAGACGGCCTACTCCTGCTCCTAGTTCTTGTGTTCTTGTGTTTCTGTATGTTTCTTATCCCTTATACCCTTGACTAGGAAATGTCTTTCAATCTCATTTGAATTATTAACTGAGATATATCTTTTACTTATTGTGGTAAAGAGTTCTACTCTTCTGTCACTCTTTATGTGAACATGTTTCCTGTCATATTTCCTAGAAGGCTAGGCTCTGATGTTACAGTTATATGCCCTTTTTCCTGCACTCCCCACGAGCAGATAAAGTTTATCTATCTCTCTAACCAACTTCTTTCAAAACCCCAAGTAAATCACCAACCCTGCACCCCCCTCCCCACCGACCCCATGTTCTATTATCCAGAGAATACAAGTCAGTTTCTCCCCAAAACCCAAACCTGGGAGCTCTGGTAACATTCCAGCAAATCCAGTCTGCTCCTCCTAGAGTACGGTGTTCTGTGCTCCAGATGTGGTCTAACCAGACCGTTATTTAACTGTGCATTATGTTCATTGTCAGATACATATTCCCTTACTGTTGGAATATTAGCTAAGTCTGGTTCCTTGAGTGTTAAAAAATCTAGTTTGGCCTGCCCTCTCTCCTGAAACACATTGCTCTGAAAATGAAACCTATCTTGCATATACAAACACAAATTATTACTTAGTGAGAATTACTTTCTTATTTTGCACAGTACCTGATTTGTGCAATAGGCACACATATCACCAATGCCAAGGTAAACTGTGATCAGCTTCCAATCCTTCTGAAAGTCAATGAGCTGAAGTAAAACAAGCAATGATTAATGTGAATTATTCTGAACCTGACAAAACCAAAATTTTTGCTTGTATAGAGTCTAATCTGCATCTAGAATCCAGACGTATGCACAAATTTGCAAAGCACATTCCAGTTGGTTACCACAGAAATGTTCCTAGTTGGATAATCATGTAACAGAGAAGAAAAGCTTTACGTTTCAGCCCACCTTTGGTAGCTGTGTCTTCGGCTATGTAGGTCCCAAAGCTCTAGAATTGTTTCTATCAACCTCTGTACCTTTGTCTTTCCTCCACTTAAATTCTCCTTAAGACTTATTTCTTCGAGCAAGCTTTTGATCACCTGTCCTTATATCTTCAGCTGAGGCTCAATGTTGGTTCAATATGAGTTGCTTTGGAATGTCTTGAAACATTAAAAGTGCAACATACATGCCAGAAAATGTTGTTGGTGATTATAGCAACTAAATGTCATTGCAGCAAGGCATCCAGAGTTATTCTTTTTCCTGAGGAAATCTGGCACCAATCCATACCAAATGTAGGTGGACATTGAAAAAGACAAGATTGATCTAAAGTGCAAAAAGAATGGACTACAAAGGAAACAAGTTCCAGAATGAAGGTCTTTAAAAGGATTGTGTCAAAGAAGGAAATACTGAATAATACAGATAAACACTTTATTTCTTTTTAGTCAATTTCTGATACACCAAACATCAAACTACTGAAATTCCACCAAAGAAAACACAGATTCACATAAGAAGCCTTCTCTCTTGCTAAGTAGTAGGCACAGGGTTGACAAGAGCTACCTTATAACTCTTCCCTACAGCCAGCATGGGCATAATGAACTGAACAGCTTCCTTTAATGTGTTATTATTCTGTGATTCTATGATACAGGATGCACTCATACAGCTGGTATTTAATAATCTGTAATTGTGCTACTTGCTAGCTCAGATCCCTCATGAGTTTCCCACTGTTCATTCAAATTAGATCACTCTGCCCCAATTTAGCAAGGCGCTATATGATTGACTGGAGACCAAAGTTGATTAAAGGCAAAAGCAAAGGAATTTCCCATGAATCAATTACTGTTAGCAATAATTGTGAGGCAATGTCTAAATACTTACCATGTTATTTTTCAAACTGGTCACCAGTTTTTGAGCCATCCCTGGTAATTCCCTGAAATAAACACATTTCTTAATTATTCCATTCAATAATGTTAGATCAGATCATGAAAAAAAATTGATATTATCAGGCTTGGATGTACTAAGACAGTACTGGAACTGGGTGGTAATGTTTTGTATTCCAGAGCATTGTCAACCAGTTCTGATCTAAAGTATTGGAAAAAATCTGTAGCTCGAGTTGTGGATGAGGTTGTTGACTTCCTCGCCGAGCTGGCTTGTTTTTGTTCTGTTCTGACGTTTTAAAATTAATTTTGATACTTATCATTGTCGTTTCTCGAACATACGAAGAGGGAGCAAGATTAGGCTACTCAGCCCTTTGAGTCTGCTCCTCCATTCAACAAGCTCATGGTTGATCTGATTTTAATCTTAACTCTACATTCCTTCAGATGTAATAATCTTTCATCCCCTTGGTAATTAAGAATCCGTCTACCTCTCCCTTAAAAATATTTAAAGATTCAGCATTCACTTCTTTTGAGGAAAGGAATTCCAAAGATTCACAACCCTTAGAGAAAAAAAAATGTTTCCTCATCTCAGTATTAAATGGGGAAATTTACTATTTTGGTCATCAAGTACTTACAGGTCTGGGGTAAATGGATCTATTGTTGGGTATAGAGTGCTTCAACTTTCAGTCACATATTAATCCAATCAAAAAGACTAAGGGATTGTGCACACTCATTTCCATTCACCTTCTTATAGCTTCTTCTCCTGACTATAATCCTTTAAATAACTGCTTATCTTCATCCACAGGGAATAGGGAGAAATTGGCAGTTGAGCTATAACTTTCATTCTTTGTGGCATTCCATGAGTGTGGCTATAAGCTGGTATAGTGCTGGGATCATGGGTGTACAGCACAGGCCTCTCACAGTCAGACAGGGAGAAGAAATAGATTCCGTTCACTCATTTCAATAGAACTTTCTGACATAAGACCGCAATTAAAGCACTCAGATGGAACTCTAATGGGAAGAGTCAACCTACCCAGCTTTTGCTCTCACAACAGACAGATCTAATGAGGTGTTGACATGGTTTCCGTTTCCTAAGGAGTATCCAATCACGCCAGGATTAAATGATTTTAAAATATCTATGTATTAAAAACATGAACAAGGGTATTAGCTGTAATCCATTGTGATAATATTGCAATATTTGTGTTATTAATATAAACATTGTACGTCCTTTTATCACACTGAAATGTCCCAGAGTTCATAAATACAGACCTGGGATTTCTGGTTCAGTTACATCTGTCTGCTGCTATGATTCAAACATAATTTTCATTCAAAGAATCATTCAGCTCTCAATTGTGGCTATTCTCTGTTTCCTGTTGGCCAAATAATCTTCCATCCATCCTGATATGTTATCGCAATATCATGGGTATTAATTTTCTACGATAACCTTTGATGTGGCATCTTATCGAATGCTTTCTGGAGATCTCAATGTTGTACATAGAGTCATAGAGCTGTACAGCATGGAAACAAACCCTTCAGAACTCGTCCATGCCAACCAGATATTCAAAATTAATCTAGTCCCATTTGCCATACCTGCCTCAACCCTTCCTATTCTTGTACCCATCCAGATACTTTTTAAATGTTGTAATTGTACCAACCTCCACCACTTCCTCTGGCAGCTCATTACACACAGGCACCACCTTCTGTATGAAAAAAGTTGCCCCTTGGGTCCCTTTTAAATCTTATCCCTCTCACCTTAAACCTATGCCCTCTAGCTTTGGACTCCCCTACCCTGGGAAAAAGATCTTGGCTATTCACCCTAACCATGCCCCTCATGATTTTATGAACTTCTATAAGGTCACCCCTCATCATTCACAAGTGTAGAACATCTTTCTCAAAGAATTCCAATAAATTGGTTAGACATGATTTCCCTTCCTCAAAACCATGTTGACTCTGCCTGATTATCTTGATTTTTTTTCTAAGTGCTCTGCTCTAATGTATTTAATAGTACCTTCTAAAGGCTTCTATATGACAAATGTTAAACTATCTGGCCTATCATTTCCAGTTCTGTCTTCCTCCCTTTTTGAATAATTTATTTAAATAAATATTTGCGATTTTCCAATGGAATTGAACATTTCCCCAATCAAGAGACTTTTGGGGAAATTAAAATTAGTGCAACAGCTATCTAACTAGCATTAGCTTTAAACCCTAGGATGAAGTGCATGGGGACCTGAGCATCATCAGCCTGCAGTCCAATAGTTTGCTCAGTAACTCTTCGCTGCTGATTATAATTTCTCTAAGTGTTCCCCTCCCTTCCATTTCCTGATGTTCAGCTATTTCTGGGATGTTATTATTACCCTCTACAATGAAGCCTAATGCAAAATACCTGTACATTTCATCTAATCATCTTATTTTTCATTGTCAATTCCCCAGACTCACTTCTGATAGGAACAACATCCACATTGTTATTTTTTTCTATTCTAAATATCCATGACAACTCTTCCAATCTGTTTTTATATTTCTAGCTAGCTTTCTCTCAGAATCTGATTTTTTTTCTCCATATCATTCGTTTTTTAAATATTTTGTCCAGTCTTCTGACTTGCCACGCATCCTTGCACAATTATATGCATTATTGTATGTTTGATACTTCCTTCAATTTATTTAGTTATTTAGTATTCTGGGATGAACAGGCTGGGACAGTGGTTGAGGATGGAAACCTTACGGCCTTTAAAAAGTAGGTGGGTGAGCAATTGAAATGTCTTGGCATTCAAGGTTGTGGGCCAAGTGCTGGAAGGTGGGACTGGTGTAGATTTAGAGTAGTTTTTTTTGCTGCAGACTTGATGGGCCGAAGGGCCTCTTTTGTACTATATGATTCTATGATTCTAGTTAACCATGGATGGTAGGTCCTCCTTTTGGAATTTTTGTTTCTCATTGGCACGTATCCATTCTGTCCATTCTGAAATATCTCCTTAAAAGTCTCTATTGATCTATCCCTTATCCTAATTGCTAGTTCAATTCGCTCGTTCTGTTTTAGATCTTTTTTATTGCAATTGTTTAAGTTTATAATGCTCGTCTCATGCCCATTCTTCTCTCCTTCAAACTGAATGTAAACTTTGATCATATTATGACCACTGCAGCATAGGGGTGCCTTCAATATGAATATGCTTTCAACAACTAATCCTATCGCGTTGCACAATGGCAGGTCTGGTCTCGCCTGCCCTCTGGTTGGCACCATAAGGAACAAGGCCAGTTGCCCTGTCCTCCAATAATATCATGGCTGTCCTGATTACTCTGCATTCCTGCCTATCCTGATAACCTTTCATCCCCTTATATTTCAATAATCCATCTACCTTTCCCATAAATACTCTTTTTCCACTGCTTTTCTGGAAGAGAGTTCCAAAGACTCGTGACCATCTGAGACACAAAATTTCTCCTCATCCCTCTCTTAACTGGGTAACCCCATGTTTCTAAACAGTGACTCCAACTCAAGAGACAACATCCTTTTGACATCTACTGTGTCAAGACCCTTCAGGATCTTACTTGTTTCAATTAAGTTACAGTTTTACTCTTATAAGCTCCAGCAAATAAAAACTAGCCTAGTGTCTTTTTAAAAAAGATTAACCAAGATTAAGTTTCTTAAATGAAATTTTACACAGGCGACATAAAAGCCGTTGACTACACAGTCGAGGGAATACCTGATGAATGGTAGGACCCTGGGAAGCAATAAGGATCAGAGGGAGCTTGGTGTGCACGTACGCCAGTGTCTTAAGTGTAGTGGGACAGGTAGATAAAATGGCTAATAAGTCATATGGAATAGTTGCTTTTATTAGCCATGGTATTGAGTTTAGCAGGAAGGTTATGCAGGAAATGTCTAAAATGCTGATTAGGCCACAGCTAGAGTATTGTGTGCAGTTCTGGAATCCACATTATAGGAGAGATGGGATAGCACTAGGGAAGGTGCAGAGGAGATTTACCAGGATGCAGCCTGGACTGGAGAATTTTAGTTCCTAAGAGAGATTTGACAGACTGGGGCTGTTTTCTGTAGAGCACAGGAGACCAAGGGGGATGGCAGTTGCATGATTGCGATGCATCAACTTATGAGGGGTATAGATAGGGTAGACAGGGAAGAACTTTTCTCCTTGGTGGAGGGATAAATGAGCAGGAGGCATAGACTTAAGGTGAAGGGCAGGAGGATTTGAAGGTTGACAGGAAAACATTTTTCACCCAGAGGGTGGTGGGAATGTGGAGCTTACTGTCTGTAAGGGTGGTAGAGGCAGAAACCCTCATAACATTTAAGGAATATTTAGGCGTAAACTTGAAGTGCCAAGGCAGACAAAGCTAGGGGCCAAATGCTGGAAAATGGGATTAGAATAGTTAGGTGGTTGTTGTTAACTGGCACGGACAAGAAGGGCTGAAGGGTGTTTTTCTGTGTTGTAGACATCTGTGACTCTATGACAATCCTATCGCTGGCTTCCAAGGCCAATACAGTGAGTAGGAGCCGGTCATTCACTGAGACAGTGGATGACCACTGTCCTAACGACTGATTGAAAAATCTGCAGCTTAATCTCGTTTTTAACCCTAAACCCCAGACCAGTAACCACCAGTAGTGCCCGCTATTGATATGAAGGTGGATGTCTGATTAGTTTGTCTCTTGGTGACGTTTGAAAGATGCTGGCCCATAGATTATGAGAATTCACTGCACTTATTTGAATAGTGTGAGGATTTTTTGAATATCTGTTGGAACCACTGAAGAAACCAGAGAAGACCTTCATTGAAGTTTTATTTGAAGGACACTGTCTCCAAAGGTGTGACACTCCAATGTGCACTGCATGGAGTATGAAACCTAGGGAGGAGAACAAATGACAGACAAAGCAGCCCCAGAGACAATGGTGATCTCAACAGAGCTGGCCCAACACACACTTCTTGTTGAAACATATGATGAAAATTTATTCCACTTGTGGTAAGTTGCCCATACAAGTTACACATACCTGGCAAGGAGACTGGCATCCAAGAATCTGGATCCTTGTCATTGCTGTAGTCGGAAAGCAAACAAAATTGATTTAAATTACCATCGTGGAACCATAAAGAAAACAAGGAGGACAAACAACCTATTTAGACTCAATCTAGCCCTCTGAAACCGCTATTCATTTCACCCTATTTTGTATATCAGAAAGTCCATGAGTGAATGACGACACTGGAGCCAATTATTTACAGAGTTAGCCATGGAAAGCATACCCGTGAACTCAACAGTTTCATTGTCTAGAAGTGAAACCCCAATTAATACAATTGATCCAAATGTGGAAAGCATGTTTCCTTTTGTGGGTTAGTCCAGAAGGGGCCTTCTTCTAACATTAACGTTTGCTCTTTGAGACAGAAATGGAGATCTTTTCTCTCTCAGAGTGTTGTGTGACTTTGGAACTCTTCCTCAGATGGCGGTGGAGGTGGAGTCAGTGAATATTTTTAAAGGGAAGGTATTAGGTTCTTGTCAGGCGAGGGAAGCAAATGTTATTCGGTCTAGATAGAACTTGATCTAGTTGTTACCACGTTACTGTTTGTGGGATTTACAACGGTAACTTCAAAAGTATTTCATTGGCTATAAAATGCCTTGGAACATCTTTATTTTGTCCTTTCACAGGATGCTGGTGCCACATGTTAGACCAGCATAGAATGCCCATCCCCAATTGCCCTTGGGAAGGTGGTGATGAGCTGCCTGCATGAAATTTTGCAGTCCACACAGTGTCTGTACACTCCTAGTGCTATTAAGAAGGTGATTCCAGGATTTTGACCCAGCAACACTGAAAGAACGGCAATAAGTTTCCAAAATCAGAATGGTTTATGGCTTGGAGGGGAACTTGCTTGTGGTGGTGTTCCCATGTATCTGTTTCTTTTGTCCTTCTCATTGATAGACGTCACAGAAAGGTGCTGTGAAAGGAACACTGCTCAGTTGTTGTAGCCCACTTTGTAAGTGACAAACAGTGATGCCATTATGCATTACTGGTGGAGGGAGTGAATATTTAAAGTGTCTGATGGGATGTCAATCAAGAGGCTACTTTGTCCTGGATGGTGTCAACCTTCTTGAGTGTTGTTGGAGCTGCACCCATCCAGGCAAGTGGGGCGTATTCCAACACACTCTTGACTTGTACCTTGTAGATGGTGCGCAGGCTTTGGAGAGTCAGGAGGTGAGTCACTCACTGCAGTATTCCTAGCCGCTGATCTATAGGCACAATATTTATATGGATAGTCCAATTCAGTTTCTGTTCAATGGTGCCCCCCCAGGATGTTGATTATGGGGGAATTCAGTGACGATAGTAGCATTGAAGGGGAAATAATCAGATTCTCTTGTTGGAGATGACCATTACCTGGCACTTATGTGGCACAAACCTGCCCCTGGTCAGCCTGGATATTGTCCAGATCATGTTGCATTTGAACATGAACTGCTTCAGTATCTGAGGAGTCACGAATGATGTTGAGCATGTATAATCATTGGAGAACATCCCCATTTCTGATCTTATGATGGATGGAATGTGATTAATGAAGCAGCTGAAGACGGTTGGGCCCAGGACACTACACTGTGTTTTTCCAATGGATTCACGGTCAACATTAGATTCTCAATTCCAGATATTTATTGAATTCAAATTCCACCATCTGCCATAGTGGGATTCGAATCCGCATCCCCTGAACATTATCTGGGTCTCTGGATTAACAGTCCAGCAATAATACCACTAGGCCATCACCTCCCCCTAATTAATGTTGAATGTGGGAAAAATATGTTTATATGCTTTACAGAAGAATAAAGGAGCTGAATACTATTTAAACAGAGAAAGACTGCAAAAAGCTATGGTGCTGAGGGGCTTAGAAATCCTCACGCATAAACTACAAAAAGCTAGCATAAAAGTTTATTAGGTGATAAGGAAGGTAAATGGAATGTTGGCCTTTGCTTCAAAGGGGATGGAGTATAAAAATAGGGAATTCTTGCTGTAACTACATAAGGCACTCGTTAGACCACAGCTGGAATATTGTGAACAGTTTTAGTCCCTAGAGAAATTTCACTGGATTGATTCTGGGTATGGAAGGATCATTCTGTGAGAAGAGGTTGATTAGTTTGGGCCTGTACTCATTAGTGTTTAGAAGAATGAGAAGGGACCTTATTGAATCATACAAGGTTCTTAGGGACCTTGACAGGGTAGATGTGGAAAGCTTATTTCCCCTTGTAGGAGAATCTAGGACCAGAGGACATCAGCTCAGAATAAGAGGCTGTCCAGTGAAACAGAGATGAGGAAGAATTTCTTCCATCAAAGGATAGTGAAACTGTGAAATTCTTTACTACTGAGGGCTCTAGAGAGTGGTCATTAAATATACATGAGGCTGAGATAGAGAGATTTTTAATCAGTAAGGGAATCAAGGGTAATGCGGAAAGGCAGGAAAATGGAGTTGAGGATCATCAGATCAGCCATGATCCCATTGAAAGATGGAGCAGATTCAATGGACTGAATGGCCTACTTCTCATGGTCGAACTAAGCACCAGTGAACAGATTACTGTTGAGTAAATGCTGCATGACAACATTGTTGATGACCCCTCCCAGCTCTTGGCTTATGATCAAAAGGAGACAAACGGGGTGGTATTTTTGTGTACAGGACAGACCTGGGCAATATGCCACATTGTTAGGTAGGTACCATTGTTTTGATGGACTGGACCAGCTTGGCAAGCGGCATAGCTAGTTTTATTATATTCACTAATGGGACATGGGCATTGCTGGCAGGGCCAGCATTTATTCCCTATCCCTAGTTGCCCTTGAGAAGATACTGGTGAGCTGACTCCGCGAACTGTTGCAGTCCATGTGGTTAGGTAGACGCACAAAGCTGTTAGGGTGGGAAGTCTGAAGCACAAGTCTTCAGTACTATTGCTGGAAAGTTGTTAGGACCCGTAAGTTTGCAGTATCCAGTGTCTCCGACCATTTTGTGACATTATACAGAGTGAATCAAATTGGCTGAAGATTGGAGACAACAAAGTGCAGGGCTGGATGAACACAGCAGGCCAAGTAGCATCATAGGAGCAGAAAGGCTGACGTTTCGGGCCTAGACCCTTATGTGTTTGGCTAATATGTGTAGCTACACCCTGTTAAGTGGAAGCGGCAAACAAAATACAATGGTTTGTATTAGTCACTATTTCTGGCAACCTCACTCAAAAGTACACTCACCGAATTAAGTATCATAAAGACCTGAAATTGTCTGCTCACTCTTCTCATAATTACATGTGTAAAGAGAAGGGGAAACTGAAATGAGTACCAGTTTTTGGAAAGAAAATTTAACCATTACCTTGTCAAATGTCCACTATGCTGTGGGGGCTCTACCTGCAAAGGAACAGCCAGTTACCATCTTGTGCTCAGTCAATACAATGCACAGAAGTTGTAAAGACTAACGTCGAGCCCATTTTAACCAAGTGACATTACTCACAGTTAGCGCATCTCCCAAACGTGCAACGACCTTGATCTGTGAAGGTCTTAAAGCATGAACTGCAGAGAGTTACAGAAGTAAAGTTAAAATTCTGGCCAGATCATGTCACACTTTAACTCAGAGGTTTGCTGCTGATAAGGAATTACTGTAAGGGTAGGTGAAAAACTAGTGTACACTAGGTCCATGGAAGTGTGTTCCATTTGATTGATACAGGTAAGATTAATCCACTCATAACCTATATCATGACATATAAAAACTAACCCCAGGATTTCCCAGACCTCTAGAGCTGATCCTACTTTGTCTTTAAAATATTTGCCAAACTGACACCCTTTATATATTTTTAACCACCCTGTTCAGCTAGGCTATGACACATGTTTTGGGAAGTGGGGTCTTGACCCCAGGCCTCCTAGGTCACTAGCTCTCTGATCTCATTGAAACATATTGAATTCTTAAGGGGCTTGACAGGGTTAATGCTGAGAGGATGTTTCCTCTCATGGGAGAGTCTAGGACCAGAAGGCATAGTCTCAGAATTAAGGGGCATCAATTTAACACTGAAACGAGAAGGAATTTCTTCTCTCAGAAGGGTGTGAGTCTTTGGAACTCCTAGCCGCAATAGAGCTGTGTGGGAAGAGGCCTTGTGTATATTTAAGGCTGGGTGGGATGCTCTTCAGAGGGTTGGTGTGGACTCAATGGGCTGAATGACCTCTTTACATACTGTCGGGATTCTACGATTCCCTCCATTCGATGGAGAACAATCCCCTCAGCTTCTCAAGTCTATTCCATTTGCTTCCTGTCACTCCCTCTTACACGTACCTGAGTCTGAAGGCGAGTTGGAAAATATCTCTTCACTGCAACCAACCCAACGGCCCTTAAAGCTCTACAAGAGAAAAGGTTAGACCCTGTCATATCAGCACGCCACCAACATAATAAAGATATAGAGGCAGGGGTACAGCTACCTCCTAGAACAAAATTCATTGAGTCCAATCATGGAACAAGACTCACACTGAGTAACTCCCTCTCCATACTGCTAATGGTGCTGTCCAATGAAGAACCCACTTATTCAATGCACGCAGAGAGGTTATGGACTCAGTTTCTGGCCTCCGGTCAGCCAATCTCAGTGGAACTCACAATTAGTCTTAGCATCTTTTGAGCTAAGATTGGCAAAGTAATCAGTCAGGAACTGGCTTCCCAGTTATTAATTAGTGAGTCCTGTCCTGGAGGACACCATCAGGCACTATAACCTATTAACAAACCTGTCCAACCTCATACAGGTGAATGACTTTGTCAATGTGTGTGTGTGTGCATGTTTTGTGTGTGCATCTGTGTCTGCGTCTGTATGTGTGCGTATGCACATATGTGTGTAAATGTGTGTGTGTGTGTGTGTCTGTATACGTGTGTGTGGGTGTGTGTCTGTATACGTGTGTGTGGGTGTGTGCATGTGTGTGTACCTGATCAGAGAGCTGTTGCTATGTGTGGGAATCGGATCAGAATGGGAATGAATTGGATAATGAGTAAGTGACCACTGGAATGCTGTTCAGTAACTAAACTGTCCACATTCCTCAAAAGAGGTTCCGAAGAACAAAGGGACACTCTGAGCGACAGCAACCCTTCACTTTGAGTGTGGAGGTCCAGTTTCAAGCAGCCTAAATCACTGTAACTAATTCCAGATGCCTCATTTCTATCTGTTTGTCAAGTTGAGATAATGAAAGAGAGGGACCTTACATCCGGAGATTACACACAGGAATGAAATGCAGGCGCTGGGACATTAATGATTAGTGGGGTCAATCACAAAGTGCTGTGTCAAACGCACTGCTCAATCCCACTGCCTGCCCTTCACATGCATGAAACAACAGCATTTACTTTATCCACCTCAGAAAGAAAGCACTTTTATTTACACATCCTCGGGGCATGGCAAAACACTTCAGAACTATTGAAGTTATTTTTGAGGAGGAGGCTCTGTTGTATTGCAGCAGTCAGTTTGCACATGTCAAGATCCCACAGGGAGTGTTGAGATATATCATCTGGTAGTTTGTGTTTCAAATGGGATTGGCTGAGGGAGAAACATCGACATGGGATTTTGCGTCACTACCAGCACAGTGTGGCGCTCCCTCTTATTGTAGTGACATGCCAATCAAGGTGGAAATATTCAGAAATCTCTGGCACAGGACTCGAACTCACTGCCTTCTACCTAAGGAGGCAGTAGTGTTACCCACTGACCCACAGATAATCCAGAATGGGGCAAGTCTTAAACGAACGTCAATGGAATTGAACCTTATGTGCCACATTTTACAAATTGAACAGCCTGACCGTGAGGTCTATTGGTGCTTTTGGAGAATTGTGGTGTTGGGGGCTGGATTTTAATTATCGAGTGGCAAGTTCCCGCACAAACTTCCTGACAGCCTTTTTGGATGGGCCATGCCATTCATGTCAGGACTAATGGCAAAACTTTGGTCAGCAATTGAATTCACATCCTGAGCCCAAAAGCCTTCAAACTGCTCCATTTCCAGTTACATTCTTACCTCTCCATCAGCCAGTGGGTTGGTGCTATTCTCCTTGTTGCTCAGATGTTTCCCCTCAGCCAGGTCCTCTGCTAAGCCTGTGGGGAGATACTTGGCTGTGATCAGTGGCTCCATTGCAAACTGATGCTTAAACTTATTCCCAGTCAGAAACATTGGACTGACGTACGTCAGCAAAAGTGAGCAAAAAAGTCAACTTACAACAGAATCCGGGAAGAAATTCTAAGAGATAAATTAAGGAACGAACTGTGTTTATGTTAATCTTCCAAGCGGAGTAGTGGGGCACAAAAATAGATTTAGGGATGTGGGAAAGGTGCTAGATCTGTACAATGAAAGAATTTGCCAATACAAGGAGTTTGGACAGCTTTATGCTGTTCCTTGTTATCATAGGATCCCTACAGTGTGGAAAGAGGCCATTCAGCCCATTGAGTGTGCACCACACTCCAAAGAGCAGCCCACCCAAAGCCAGCCCATCCTCCTCCACCCCACCATATCTCTGTAATTTGCATTTCCCATGGCTTATCTACCCTGCCGGCACATTCCTGGACTCTATGGGACATGGCACATCTTTGAACTGTGAGAGGAAACCAGAGCACCCAGTGGATACCTGGACACGGGGAAAACATGCAAACTCTACACAGAAGGTCACCCAAGGCAGGAATTAAACCCAGGTCCCTCGTGTTGTGAGGCAGCAGTGCTAACCACTGAGCCACCATGCCACCCAAAACTCACAGGGGCATTTTTGGATCCCGCATTGCTCCACGCTAGTTTGGTGGAGCGACTATAAAGATACAACCAATGAAAATCCCCACATTTAAAATGAACAATCACTTATAGCGCTTTCCAAACTCCAGTTGCATTAGTGTCAATTTCAACGTTGCCGGTTACAGCATCTTAAGTATTCTGTTTACCTGAGGCAGAAACACCAGTCACTAGGCAATTTGTGAATGTTCTCCTCCATTAAAACCACCATTAATTCTTGCAGACAACATTGATGATGCAAACAGGTCATTTGGTCTAAGCCAGGGTTTATACAAGCCTTGTCCCACCATCTAACTGCATTAACAAACCCTCCAACTCCTTTCAGAAATTAAAATAGAACCAGACCGGGTCCTTTGACTCAACTAGTGATGAAAATGAACTGGAACTGAGGCTGGAGTTTAAAGCCAAGGAAAAAGACCGAGAGAAACAATTTCAAAAAGAAAGGGCGCAGCTATAAAGACAAGCCTGGAATGAAAGGGAGGAATGGGAGGAGAAAGAGCAAGATAGAGATTGCCAGCTAATATCCTTGTAAATGTTTCTGCACCCTTTCAAGTTAATAACTATTACAGTCATAGAATCATACAGCACAGAAACAGACCCTTCGGTCCAACCAGTCCATGCTGAATATAATCCCAAACTAAACTAGTCCAACCTGCCTGCTCCTGGCCCATATCCCTCCAAACATTTCCCAGTCATCAACTTATACGAATGTCTTTTAAATGTTGCGATTGTATCTGCATCCACCACTTCCTCAGGAAGTTCATTCCACACTCGAACCACCTTCTGTGTAAAAAATTTGCCTCTCATGTCTTTTTTAAATCTCTCCCCTCTCACCTTAAAAATGTGCCCCCTAATCTTGAAATCCCCCACCCTAGGAAAAAGACAACTACCATCAACTCTATATATACCCCTCATTATTTTATAAATTTCTATGAGGTCGCCTCTCAATTTCCTACGCTCCAGTGAAAAAAAGTCCCAGCCTATCCAGCCTTTCTTTATAACTCAAACCTTCCACACTCGGCAACATCCTGGTAAATCTCATCTGAACCCTCTCCATGTTAAGAATATCCTTCCTATAACTGGGTGACCCAGAACTGGGCACAGTATTCCAGAAGAAGCCTCACCAATGTCCTGGAAACATCAATATTACTTCCCAAATCCTATACACAAAGGTCTGAGCAATGAAGGCAAGCGTGCCAAATTTCTTCTTTTTCTGATTTGGACCGGCTGGTGGATCTCCTCTATCTGTTTCTCTCTGAGTCATAAATCTCAAATTAGTAAAAATTTCAGCAATTATCTCATCAGATTGCTTGTCTAGTCATCTTCCTTTTTTGGAAATGTTTGTTTTCTTAGGAATACTATTCAGACTAATTTATTAAAAAATGAATTTCTGACCTTTTTTTCGAAAGAAACTGTCATCTTTACAGAACTGAAATCCAAAAACCCATTTACCCTTACTTTAGAAACCAAGTTGCCGAGTAAAAATAATATGTTATAAATCTTTATCATACTGTGCAGTTTTGAAATTACAGATTTATTAAGGACTGTTAAATGAACCTTTCTGCTTTAAAATCTATATCTTGGTTAAAAGAAAATTAAGTTTCAAAAATTCTTTCAAGATGGTAGTGACAGCAGACGTTGCATTGGGCTAGTTTAAAGCCAATTGCACTGAGTTATCTCAGCGTCTATCTTAAACGATGACATTTAGAAGTAATTGACCCTTGGACAACATAATGGCTCCTTATAAATGTGAGAGACATCCAAGCTTCTGGGAGAACAAGAGATAGAAAAGGACATCAACATAATTGACTTATTTGCCAAGTGGAACAATGGCTCATTTGAAATTAACAAAGTAGCCATTTTGCCTTTGGTGTGATTTAAAAAATGCTAGTTTTAGTTTATCATAGGATTGCTGTCTCATTCAGAGACAGAGAGAGAAAGAGATGAGTGATGGTGGTTTAACCTGAGAATCACCATGCCTCAAGGTGGGGAAAGAGGTTGAGAAGGAGATTCATTCAGCTGAGGAGGAATTGAACCAACGACATTGGTGTTACTCTGTTTTGCAAATCAGCCACCCAGCTGACTGGTCCTGCGGGAAGAGGATATCTAACTTGTGCATCTTCCCAACTTGTACTTAGCCAAGGAAATGTAAGATTCAGCCCTATTATCTCACTACATGCTATAACAGTTCATGTAAACTGAATGAAATCAGCAAGATGACACAAAGACATTACTTCACTGTTTAATCTAATGTTATCACACAGGTTTAGGTTGGATTATGGTTAAGAAACAAGATAATGTTGTAACTGGTGGTGCTTCTCTTAAATAAAGATTGGATTAAGTCTTGGATTAAGTTTTCTCTGGGATTGAGGGCTTTTCCATGTCGGTGTAACAAAGTTTGTAACTGCAATAGGCACAGAATTGTTTGTAATACAACAATAACCCTCTTAAAGCAACATAAATGAGTCAATATTTTGTGTTAAAAAGTACTATGAATTTTAAGTATGAACATGTTACGTTCTCATACAATACAGCAATCAGAATATCTGTTTTATATTGCAGTACTGGTGGGAAGCTGCTTTGTTAGAAACTCCACCAATGCTCCCTCTGACCTCCCCACTCCATAACATCTTACCTATAGCAGGGAAACCACAATTGAACGCAGTATTCCAAAGGTGGCCTAACCAATGTACAGCACAACTTGAGATCCCAACTCCTGTACTCAATGTACTGACCAATAAAGGCAAGAGTTACAAACACCTCCTTCACTACTTGGAAACAGTATGGACTGCAGATGCTGGAAGCCAGAGTCAATAGATGTGAAGCTGGAAAAGCTCAGCAGATCAGAAAGCATCTGCGGAACAGGAAAGGCTGGAACCCTTCGTCAGGACTGGGGAGGGGGAGGGGAGCCCAGAGTAAATGGCCGGTGGGGGGGTTGCTGGGGAAGGGGAGGTGGGATGGTGATAGGTGGATGCAGGTAGGAGGTTATTGTGATTGGTCACTTGGGAAGGGTGGAGCGGATAGGTGAGTAGGAAGGTTAGGTCAGGACAAGAGGGGGAGGGCTGGACCTGGGATAAGGCTGGGGTGGAGGGATTTTGAAGCTGGTGAAGTCAATATTGAGGCCATTGGGCTGTAAGCTCCCAAGGCGAAATATCAGGTGTTGTTCCTCCAGTTTATGTCTACATTCCACACCAATTCCTCCACCACACCCGATACCTTTCCCTGCAACCGCAAGAGGTGCAATGCCTGCTCCTACACCACCCCTCTCACCTCCGTCCAAGGCCCAAACAATCCTTCCATATCCGGCAGAGAGAGCAACATCTGTGCTCTGCACACAACAACCAACCCGACTTTGTGGTTACCATCCATTTTAATTCCCCCTCCTATTCCCTTGGCGACATGTCCATCCTTGGCCTCCTCCACTGTCAGAATGAGGCCAAATGTAATCTGGGGGAACACCACCTGATATTTCGCCTTGGGAGCTTACAGCCCAATGGCCTCAATATTGATTTCACCAGTATCAAAATCCCTCCAACCCCAGCCTTATCTCATGTCTAGCCTTCCCCCTCCTTCTCACCTCCCTGACCTGACCTAACCTGTCCATCTCCCTACTCACCTATCTGCTCCACCTTTCCCACTGACCAATCACAATAACCTCCTACCTGCATCCTCCCCAGACCCAACCCCTTCCCTCTATTTACTTCTGGGGTCCCCTCCCCTCAGTCCTGATGAGGATTTCGAACTGAAACATTGACTTTCCTGCTCCTTGGATGCTGTCTGACCTGCTGTGCTTATCCAGCTTCATATCTATTGTTGCCTCCTTCACTACCCTGTCTACCTGTGACTCTACCTTCAAGTAACTATGAAGCTGCACCTCAAGGTCTCTTTGCTTGGCAATATTCCCTTGGGCCCTGCCATTAAGTGTATAAGTCCTGCCCCGATTTGCCTTTCCAAAATGCAACACCTCACATTTATCTAAATCAAACTCCATCAGCCACTCCTCGGCCCATGGGCCCATCTAATCAAGGCCCCATTGTACTCTGAGATAACCTTCTTCACTGTCCACTACACTTCCAACTTTGGTGTCATCTGCAAACTTACTAACCATACCTCCTATGTTCACATCCAGATCATTTATATAAATGACAAAAGGCAGTGGATCCAGCACCGATCCTTGCGGAACACTGCTGGTCACAGGCATCTGTTCTGAAAAACAACCCTCCACCACCACCCTCTGTCTCCAACATTCAAGCTAATTTTGTATCCAAATGGCTAGCTTTCCATGTGATCAAATCTTGCTAACTGGCCTACCTTGCTGAACTCCATATAGATACCGAACACCATTCTGCCTTCATCAATCTTCTTCACCACTTCTTGAAAAAACTCAATCATGTTAGTGAGGCACGATTTCCCATGCATAAAGCCATGTTGACCATCCCTAATCAGTCCTTGGCTTTCCAAATGCATGTCAATCCTGTCCCTCAGGATCCTTCAGAATATCAGTAGAGGAAAGGAGAAGGAAGACAGAGGGAAAGGAAATGCATCTTAAAGGGACAAAGAATCATGGAAAATGGGAGAGAAACCATCCTTAACTTTCAAATGGAAGAAAATCAAAAGCAGTAATGCAGGACCATGCTGGTCTGCCTTAATTGTAGCAAACCAGGTCATAGTAAAGAAAATTGCTGGCTCTGAGAAAAGCAACCAACAGAATTTCTGTGAAGCCTAAGTCTGTAGTCACACAAAATAGTCACACTAACTGGAAATACAAAGAAAGACACAGAAGCACGCCAGGACTTGGTAAAGAAGGCGATTGGCACACTTGCCTTCATTGCTCAGACCATTGAGTATAGGAGATGGGGCATTGTGTTTTGGTTATATAATCTATATAATTTGGCTACATTGCTGAGGCCACTTTTGGAGTACTGTCTACAGTTCTGGTTGCCTTGCTATAGGAAGGATGTTATTAAGCTGGAAAGGGTGCAGAAAAGATTTATAAGGATGTTACTGAGACTGGAGAGTTTGAGTTACATAGGGAGATAGGGACTTTCTTCCCTGGAGTGTAGGAGGCTGAAGGGTGACCATATAGACATTTATAAAATCATGTGGGGCATAGATAAGGTGAATAGCCAAGGTTTTCTCCCCAGGGTAGGGGAGTCCAGAATTAGAGGACATAGGTTCATGGTGAGAGAAGAAAGATTTAAAAGTGGGAAATTTTTCACACAGAGGATAGTGCGTATATGGAAGAGCTACCAGAGGACGTGTTAGATGCAGGTACAATTACAACATTTAAAAGACAGTTGAGCAGGTATATGGAAAGGAAAGGCTTGGAGGGATATGAGCCAAATGCAGGCAATTAGGACTAGTTTTGTTTAGAAAACATATTTGACATGGACGAGTTGGACCTCAGGGTGTGTTTCTGTGCTGTATGACTCCAATTCTCTGAAGGAGAAAATGGTTCCTAGTGTTCCAAGAAACCTGGAGAAGAGATTAAACAACTCCAATAGCAGGGGGTAATTGAAGATTTCCTACATAGAAACATGATTAACTCCAAAATGACAGTCAAAAGTTAAGATGCTATTGATGGGGACTTACTTAAATGGTGAACTTGTTCCAGGTTTAAAGATGTTGGATGTAATTGAAGTTGCCCTTGCAAGCGGTTGGCCTTCTATGGGGAAATGAGGTTACAGATTGGAAAGATACCTCCAAAACCCAGGAGCAGCCCAGAGAGGCAGAACAAACTGAACAGTCTCCGCAGGCCTGTACTCAGCTGAAAGAGGTACTGAAGCCTAAATATTACTATGTAAGGATTCTGTGAAGATAACTACCTGTGCATCCCTTATCTCTGTAGCTACTTTTTTAAAATGTCAGGGTGCTACTCTTTAGATCCAGGGACTTGTAGCCCCATTAGTTTCCCGAGTACAGCTTCTCTAGTGATTGTTTTTGTGTTTATTTCCTCCATAACTTTAGTCCCTTCATTATTTAGTATGTTTGGAATGCTATTAATATCCTCTACCATGAAGACTAATGCAAAGTATTTAAAGTCATAGAGTAATACAGCACAGAAACAGGCCCTTTGGTCCAATTCTCTGCTCATTCCTGGTTTACCCTTAATATTTCCCCACCCCCATTCCATCTTGTCTCTATTTTCCTATTTATATATTTGAAGAACCTCTTACTGTCTATTTTTTAAAATATTACTTGCTAGTTTGCACTCATGGTTTATTTTAGGCCTCTTTATTTGGGTCACCTTTTCTTAGCTTTTAAGACTTGACAAATCCTCTGAATTACCACTAATTTTTGCCTCATTGAACATTTGTTTCTCTCATGCTATCCTTGTCTGGTCAACCATGGTTGGTTTAGCACAATCCTAGAATTCTCCTTCCTCACTGGAATCTGTCTTTGCTGTGAGCCATGAATTATTTTCTTAAACATCTGCCATGGTTCCCAAACTTTCTTTTCCACTAAACATGACTCGCAGTCCACTCCAGCCAACTCTGTCCTCATCCCTATATATGTAACTTCATTTACATTTAGTACAGTTGTCTCTAACCCAAATTTCTCACTCTCAAACTGAGTGCCAAATTCTACAATGTTATGGTCACTGTTGCTTCAAGGAGATGCTGAGAACATCGATTAAGCCTGTTTCATTCCACATCGCCAGATCTAAAATAGCCCAATCCCGAATCCATAGAATGTAGTTCTAGGAAACTGTTCTTAATATAGTCTGTGAATTCTTCCTTGCGGCTATCTTTGCCAATTTTATTTTCCAAATGTTCTTGATAGTTAAAGAGCATTGGAATAGTCAAATCAGTAGGTCACAAAAACATGGATGAGGATTTCAATGAAATGATAAAGGGAATATTTATATTCATATAGAACTTTTCATTGGTCACTTCAAAGACAATGTGATACTTCTGAAGTGCAATTATTACTGTAATGTAGGAAACGCAGCAGCTAATTTGTACCCTGAAAACCGCCACAAACTGAAATGTGATAATGACCAGCTAATCCATTCTTGATGTTGATTAAAGGTTAAATAGAGGCCAGGACACCAAGGATGACCCTTTTGTTCTGACTTGAAATAGTGCCATAAGCAGACACTTAGGGCTTCAGTTTAATTCTCATTCAAAAGGTGGCACTTTAGCCCCTCTGACATTATAACAGTCCTTCAGCACTGTGTTGGCTTTGACTTTTCAGTTCAAACCCTGGAGCAGGTCTCAATTCCAGAGCCTTGCAACTCAGAAGTGTGGCTGCTACCAACTGAGCCTCAACTGACAGTGGATCGGCTAAGGCAGAGGTAGAAATAGGCAGCATCATGGAGCGTCTGGAGGATGGTCTTAGATGATGGAATGGAGAGCTGGAAGGAGCTAAACTAGTTATCCAGTGCCCCAGCCTAACACTGTAGGAGTTTTGGTTATGGTGACCATGACAACTGTCATCATTTGTCGAGAAAAAAATCCACGTGGTTCAGTAACATTCTTTAGGGAAGGAAATCTGCCATCTTTACCTGGTCTGGATGTGACTACACCCACAGCAATTAACTGAAGTGGCCTTGGCAGGCCACTCAAATTAAAGGCAAGTATAGATAGGCAACAAATGCTGGCCTTGCCAGTGATACCCATACAAGAATAAAGAGAAATGAAGTTCAGGATGCTGAGTTTATGAAGGGACTGGTTCAGCCAAAGGCTTTCAGTGGGGATCCGAATGAAATCGATATGAAGGAAATCGAGATTTTGGCAAAGGCTAAATACAATAACAGTAAAATAGGAGCAAAATACTGCGGATGCTGGAGGCCTGAAATAAAAACAGGAAGTGCTGGAGAAACTTAGCAGGTCTGGCAGCACTGCGTTTCTCCAGCATTTTCTGCCATTATTTAAAAAATAATCATTTCATTCTTTGCGATGCTACATTGAAATACACAGGATCTAGAGCCAAAACCAGCCACGCAACCCAAAAGATCCATACTGGTTCAGAGGTAGTAGGAACTGCAGATGCTGGAGAATCTGAGATAACAGTGGGAGCACGAGGCGGCGCCGATATAGTCATCAATGTAATGGAGGAAGAGGTGGGGTTTAGGGCCGGTGTAGGTACGGAAGAGGGATTGTTCCACGTAACCTACAAAGAGGCAGGCATAGCTTGGGCCCATGCGGGTACCCATGGCCACCCCCTGTGTCTGTAGGAAGTGGGAGGAATTGAAAGATAAGTTGTTAAGGGTGAGGACAAGTTCGGCTAAGCGGATGAGGGTGTCAGTGGAGGGGGAATGGTCGGGCCTGCAGGACAGGAAGAAGCGGAGGGCCTTTAGGCCATCTGCATGGGGAATGCAGGTGTATAGGGACTGGACGTCCATGGTAAGGATGAGGTGTTGGGGACCGTGGAATTGGAAGTTTTGGTGGAGGTGGAGGGCGTGGGTGGTGTCATGGACGTAGGTAGGGAGTTCCTGGACCAAGGGGGAGAAAATGGAGTTGAGATAGTTGGAGATAAGTTCGGTGGGGCAGGAGCAGGCGGAAACAATGGGTCAACCCGGGCAGTCAGGTTTGTGGATTTTGGGAAGGATACTGGTGTTTGTATTCTACTGAACCTCCTTCCACTGCGCACAGCTTACCCCAATGTATCCCCTTATTCCTCCCTCCCTTGTGTGTTTATCTAGCAACCCTTAAATGCATTAATGTTAGCCTCCTCACGGGAAGGCTTTCTGCAGTCTAATGCACTCTGAATCAAGGATTCCTCTTCATGGATTTACCAAAAAATGCAAGCATTTATAGATTAAACATTATTAAACTTAACATCAAAATAGCTCAGTAAAGCCCTACCTTGTATTAATTGCAGAGAAAGAGTTAAAATCAACACGCTTGCGGTCTGGCATTTCATTGTTTGGATTTGCATCACTCAGAAACCAGGCAGCTTCTCACCTCAGAATGTGTTGAGTGATCACTCACCACTTAGGGCTGCTTTATATCAAGAGGCACCTTTGTCTCCCCATTCTCCTCCTGGTTTTTATGACCATCCTGGTTTACCTACCAATAAATCACTGATTATGAGAGAGAATAACTCTTTAAATGCATGATGCGATAAGTTGCTTAATGCACATTGTAAAGCAATTCAATATTTATTTTCTCTAATGATTGCACAATCACAATTATAAACAACTAATGCAATTATAGCACTACGTTACTGGTTTGAAGCCTCAAAGAAACACTTGCATTTATGTAGCGTATTTTACAAAGTCATTTAAAGCACATTATAGTCAATGAAATCAATATTGCTATAACATTAAAGGAACAGTAATGATAGTCCCGTTCTCTCATTAGAGAGAGGTAATTAGTGGGAGATTAAACCTGAAGGTCACCAAACCTCAAGTGAGGGGTGAGGTTGAGAAAGCAGGACTTTTATGGTAACCTCAGCTGGAGCAGGAATTGAACCTGTGATGTTGGTGCCACTCAGCAGTTGTCCAACCAACTGAAATAACTTGCCCCCTGCTGCAACGCTATATCTGATTGTATGGAACATTGTCCAGGTATGTCCTGTCTAGAAAAGGCAGGACAAATTTAATTGAGTCAATTTCTGCCCCAGCAGTCTATTCCTCATTGTTAATAATACTTGAAGCTAAATGTGGGGCAAACTTTGCATTCATGGCATGTTGACTGTACCAAGGCAATTTCCCATATCTTCAGCAGTTCCTTGATATCACACAAAGGGAATCAAATTGAGTTGAAGACTATCATCTGCGGTTCTGAGGACAGCTGGAGGAGACCAAGGTGGATCAAAATAAAAACCAAAAGAACTGTGGATGCTGTAAATCAGGAACAAAAACAAAGTTGCTGGAAAAGCTCAGCAGGTCTGGCAGCATCTGTGACGGAGAAAACAGAGTTAACGTTTCGGGTCCGGTGACCCTTCCTCAGAACTGATGGTGGCTGGGAAAATGTCAGTTTATATGCAGAAAATAGGGAGGTGGGTGGGGTAGGGAGTAAACGATAGGATAGAGTCCGAAGAGAGAGAAAGACAGTTGGACAGACAAAGGAGTTGCTATCAATCAGGCTGGGAGGGTGAATAGTTGTTAATGGGGACTGTTAGTGACTAACAACAGAGGGTGTGTAATGGCAGGCTATGTGGTAACAAGGCCTGGTGTGTGGGGTGGGGGGCTGGCACATGGGAGAGTTTGGGCCCTAAAATTATTGAACTCAATATTGAGTCTGGAGGGCTGTAGGGTCCCCAAGCAGAAAATGAGGTGTTGTTCCTCCAGCTTGCGTTGGGCTTCACTGGAACACTGTAGCAAGCCAGAGACAGAGATGTTGCCCAGGGAGCAGGGTGGTGCATTGAAGTAGCAGGCAACAGGTAGTTCAGGGTAGTTCAGGGATCCAAGGTGGATCATCCACTCAGCAATTCTGGCTAAAGATGCCTTCCCTTCCAGTGGGTTATTTAATTGTCTATCACCGGTCACAACTGGATGTGGCAGGATGTTTGGGTGTGGAAATGCTTAGCTCTGATTAAAGCATGTGATGTTTCACATACATGTTGTTAGCTTCCTTTTGTGCTATATTATTCTATGATGCCAGATTAAAGGGATCAGGCCTGAAACTGGGAATGACAGCAGAGTCTCAGTCAAAATGGCTATGCGTCCCATTGATTCCAAATGGAAATGGGGAGAGTGGCCAGAGTTGGTGACTGGTGGCTCACTGGCTCTTATAAACAATAAGCCTAGAGAGCAATGGAGCCACCGTACACTTTCAGGTTCTGGTCATGTACATTTTTGGTCAATGGAAAAATTAAGCATTAGTGGAACAAAATGACATGTTCAAAAGTAGAGAAGGTTTCAAAGGTAAAGGGAGCAAGATGTGGTTAGATGATAGTGGGATTTGGTTAGGGTATCTGGTGAAATGTATATAAACAGTTAACACTTTCACTTCAGTAGTGATGGGTGGCAAGGGACCTATTTGTAATGAATAGCCATTCTTTCAATGAACTGTGAAGAAGGCCATAAGGAGATTCAGAGAGAGGTGCTGGTGGATGGGGTGTGTTGTAGAATAAGAATCCATACACCAACAACATGTTGCATGTAATTAGTGCAAAGATACTTGGCATTCGCATATGCTGAGATTCTGGAAAGAGAGGATGGGATAATCTCCAGTGACAAGATGCCTTACAGCATTCCTTATAATGTGTACCAGCATATAAATAAAAAAGGTCTGTCAGAACTCTCAAGAAACAGACAATTGTCACTTTTAGGTAAGGCAGAGACTGAGATGTGGCACACTAAGAGTGGAGACAGTACCATCTGCAGGAGCTGTCTCTTAGCAGAGCAGTAAGCTGCGCACAGTCAGAAAGGAGGGATCCCCTCCAGAGTGAGAGAGAACCGAGTGAGTATATAGTTTGGGGAATGTGGAGACAGAGTGGGAAGAGGTGTAGAGGGGAAGAGATACTTTTTGCTTGCTTTTTCTGACTCGCAGTTTGTAAGGCTTTTTTTTAAAACAGACGAAATTGAAGCCCAGAATGAGGGGCCCATCACAAAAGAGTGACATTACAGGTAAACCATAAGTTTGTTGATTGGTGATAACTACTAGCTGTCTGTTACAGGTTACTTTCATGTAAATGGGGGGAAACATTTGCAGATTACAACTAAAAGACCAATACGGAATTTTTTAAAAATGAAATTAAGAACTAACTGAAATATGGATGCCTGGCCAGAGGCTGTGTTGTAACTACATGATGTGGGAGCTGCAGGACCCCATTGTGGTTCATAATGATCACATCTGTAGCAAGGGTTGATGGTTCAAGAAACTCCAGCTTAGAACTGAAAAGCTAGAGACTGAGCTTCGAACATCAAGGAGGATATGTTGCTGGCCTGGTGCCCGGGTTCGGGATATCTCATTTGGGCTGCAGAAGAACTTGGAGGGGAAGGGGAAAGATTCAGTTGTCATGGTCCACATAGGTACCAACAATATAGGTAGAAAGAGGAAAGAAGTTCTGCTGAGGGAATATGAGCAGCTAGCAACTAAATTGAAAAGCAGAACCAAAAAGCTAATAACCTGAGCCATGATCGCACAGGGTCAACAAGATTAAAGAGGTAAACATGCACTGAAAGATTGGATTGGAAAAAACAGGTACAAATGCATGAGACACTGCCAACAATATTGGGGAAGGATGGAGCTGTTTTGATGGGATGGGCTCCACCTGATACATGCTGCGGGCCAGAGTCCTGGTGAATCGCATCACTAGGGTTGTGGATAGGGATTTTAAATTAAATAGTGGGAGGGACTGTAGGGCACGAGGGGGGTGAGAGGGTATTGGTTCAGTCATGTGTAAAATTTTAGAAATAGTTAAAGTGAGAGGCGGGGGGATGGTGGTAGGGCTCAGCAGAGCTAATTAAAGTTTCCAGGACAGGTAATGGAGCAGGGAGTATAGAAAGGGTCAGTCATCTAACTTCATGCACAGCAGATTATGAAAATTATGAAAAAGAGGGCAGTCAATCCAGGATAAGGGTGTTGTACTTAAATGCACGCAGTATACAAAATAGGGTAAATGAGCTGGTAGCACAGATTGCAATTGTCAGAATGATTTTATAGATATCACGGAGACGTAGCTGCAAGGAGATCAGGACTGGGAATTAAATATCCAAGGAAACACGTGCTATCGAAAGGACAGGCAGATGGGCAGAGGGAGATGAGGTTGCCTTGTTAGTAAGAAGTGAAATGAAATCAATAGCAAGAAGTGATTCAGGAGGCACAGAATCTGTGTGGATAGAGTTGAGGAATTGCAAAAGACACTGATGGGACTTGTGTGCAGGCCTCCTAGCAGTAGTCAGGATGTAAGAAAGAAAATAAATCAGGAGATAGAAATGGTGTGTAAGAAAGGCACTCTAACAATAATCATGGGGGATTTCAATGTGCGGGTGGTCTGGGAAAATCAAGTTAGTAGCAGATCTCAAGAATAGGAATTCATGGAATGTCTATAAAATGCTTTTTTTGGAGCGGCTTGTGGTAGAGCCCACCAGGGAACAGGCAGTTCTGGATTTGGTGATGTGTAGTGAGGCAGATTTGACTAGAGAGCTTAAAGTGAAGGAACCCTTAGGGGGCAGTGATCATAATATGATAGAATTCACCCTGCAGTTTGAGAGGGAGAAGCTGTAATGGTATTATAATTGAGTAAAGATAACTACAAAGACATGAGGGAAGAGCTGGCCAGAGTTGATTAGAAGGGGAGACTAGCTGAGAAAATGGTGGAGCAACAATAGCAGGATGCATTCAGGAAGCACCGCAGAAATTCATCCCAAAGAAGAAGAAGCAAGCTATAGGGAGGATGAGGCAACCATGGCTGTCAAGGGAAGTCAGGCTCAGCATAAAAGCAAAAGCATACACTGTGGTGATGATTAGTGGGAGGCCAGAGAATTGGGAAGCCTTTAAAAACCGGCAGAGGATATACTAAAACAGCAATAAGGGGGAGAAGATGAAATATGAGAATAAGCTAGCTAGTAATATAAAAGAGGATTGCAAAAGATTTTTTACATATCAAAAATATAAGCGAAAGGCAAGAGTGGATATTGGACTGCTAGAAAATGATGCTGGAGAAGTAGTAATGGGGAACAAAGAAATGATGGAGCAAGTGAAGAGGTACTTTGCATCAGTCTTCATGGTGTAAGACACAAGCAGCATACCAAAACATCAAGAGAGTCAAGGAGCTCAGGTGAGTGTAGTGGCAATACTAAGGAGAAGGTGCTGCGGAAGCTGAAAGATTTGTCGGCGGATAAATTACCCGGATCAGATGGACTACACCTCGGAGTTCTGAAGGATATAGCTGAGGAGATTTTAAAGGCATTGGTGATCATTTTTTTGGAATCACTGGAGTTAGGGAAGGTCCCAGAGGACTGGAAAATGGCTAATGTAACATGCTCCTTTTAAGTGGGGAGGGAGACGGA